GAGAGAGAAAGAGAGAGAGAGAGAGAGAGAGAGAGAGAGAAAGGAAGAGAGTAACCTACCGTAGGCCTACTTAATGTATTCATAGGTCAAAGTCAAAGGTTCAGCCAATCGTAGCCCGGTTTACGCCCTACGTGTAGTCGCCTGTGTGTATATGTCTAGATCTAATATCTAGATCAACATTTTAAAAAGTGGATTCAATGCCCACGCAGAACTGCGCCGAAGGACATTTTGTGTTCAGTTTGTTCGTGTGTAGATCTCTGTCTAGATCTAATATCTATTCTAGATCAAGATAAAAAGTCATGAAAGTATTGAAAGTGGATTTCTCCTGCAGTGGATTTAGCGCGCACGCCAAAGGATAAGTGTATTTTGTGCATAGTATCTAGATGAGATCTAGAATCTAGATTCTAGATCTAGATCTAGATCTAAATCGAGATCAAGAAGAATCATGAAATGAAAGTGGAATCTAGATCTGTGATATTTCGATACCCTATTGATTATTGTACGTGGATTTTTCTTGCTGTGCATTATAGATTCTAAGATCTAGATTTAGATCTAGGCTAGATCTGTATGTGAATCTTAGATCGAGATCAAGAATGATGAAAGTATTGAACGTGGATTTTTTCCTGCTGTGAATAAATCTAGAGTCTAGAACTAGGCTGTCGGTAAATCTAGATCGAGATCAAGAATCATGAAAGTATTCTTGAAAGTGGATTTTTCCTGCTGTGAATAGATCTAGAAATCTGCGCCATCTGTGGCGCCTGTCTGTTGTTAAAAATATGAATTTCTAAACTTAGATCTATCTATGGGCCAAGGCTCCTTCTTTCAATTATTGGCCTTTGTCTTTGCTAGATCTAGAATCTAGATTAGGTTCTTCTAGAAAGCAACAATTGGCATGTAGGCCTAACTCGTTTTTTCAAAGAAAAAAGTGATTGAGCTGGAACTGTAGGAGAAAATGCCACGCATTTGAAGAGGGGGAAGAAGTCTTACCCATAGAGGTAGTCAAGAGGGGGTGCTACGTGGATAAATTCAAGGTAAAATATTTTTGTTTTGTTTCTTCCCTGTTTTCAGTCTTTTTCTTCTTCTTAACTTTCCTAATACTTCTTCATTATTATTCTGTTCGTAGAACTGGTGCTTTTACTAGTAATAATAATGATAATAATAATAATAATAATAATAATAATAA